GGGGTGCGTGGCCGCTGGGGTGGGCAGGGCTGGAAGCCCTGGCTGGAGGCTGGAAGCTCTCTCCTTTCTTCTGTGCGTTTTTAAGTTTCTGCCTCTCTAAGTTGCCCTATGATGTGTATTTTTCCCTGCTATCGGCGCCATCTCTGAAACCTTCTAGTTGCCCTTCACAAGAACCGAGATCTAGTTAGAACTATTCTAGTCTCAAAAAAGCTGCAAACTCTTCCGCATTTTCTCTTGCCATCAACTGAACGAAAACTACAAAGGGCCTTGTATTTTTTGGGGTGTATTATTTGATTAGCTAAAATGGACTAATTATTATGAAATATACTTTTGATCCCTCTGCAGGTGCATGCAGCTCTGTAGTGATAATATTCATCTAAGTTCCTAATTTGACCTTCAGTGAAATGCGTATTTCTGGAATTATAACTCTGAAAGTTCTAATGTATTTGATGTAAGAAGAAGGTTTGTGGGTATTTTTCACAGTAGATCAATGGAGAAAAGCAACTCTGGCAAACTGCCCTGGTCCAGTAGTGGAATGAGCACAATTATAAGTACATTGGAGTAGACTTGCCTTAAGTCCCCATGTGTATCCTGTCATAGTACTGATTTTTTTTTTTGCCTTTGTTTTGACTAAGTAAGTGTTTTATGTTCCATATTTCTCTTGTACATTAGAAGTATTTCTATTAGAAGTATTTCTACATTAATCTCTCTAAAAGTACTCCAGCTGTCTGAGCATTATTCTGGCTTCCATTTAGAAAGAAAACAGATGATATTACATGGCAATGAATCAGAAGGGCACGTATAGTAACTAAGGCATTTAAGCAATGTTTGCCAAGGGTGACCCTTTTAAATTGACCCTTTAAGTTTCATTCGTGGGTTCTGAGAGTTGTCTGGCCTTCAGTTTGTGTAAAGTTGGTTTTGTGAAGCAACATTTCTCCAGTTTTCTGGAACTTTCCTGATTAATCTTTCAGAGTAGGAAAGTGGCATGACCACTGGAGCGGTAGGTCACTTTAGTGCCTGTTGTAAGTAAAATTACCAAGTTTCATTTGCTTACCCCTCCTTGTCAGTACATCTGGGTTTGTTTGTTTAAAGACTGAGATTGATTTTATTTCTTGAAGAGATTATTTACTGGAATGATAAAGGAAGTAAATTAAATGCAGTACACCTGAAGTTATGCAAAGCAGCTGACACAATCACTTACTTTGGGGTGAGTCAGTCTAAATAAGGTGGAATTTTAAGTCAATTGGAAATGGTAAAGTAATATTTCTATAGAGTTTTCTTGGGAGTTAGAGAAGTAACTCCATGGCATTAATTTTATTATGTTCTGCAGCTTATCTTAATTTTTTTATTAACCTGGAGATTAACAGTGAAAAAATAATTGTAAGTTTAAGCAGTCAAGTAAAAGTATGGCATTGCTTGTTAAACTGGTAGTTTCTTTTAAACAGACCAAATTAAAAGCTAGTGTCAAACTTCTAAGTTTTTTCCGTTACAGCTAATTTTTAATGGACATAAATACTCCAAAAGGAACATTCTTATTCTAATATCTGATACTCAGTTTATTAAAAACTGTGTTTGCTACTGAATGCAATATGTGTATGAAAGCACAATTTTGGTTGAAAAGCAGTTTAAACAGTTTTACCAAAGTATATGCTTCAATAGCCATTTGTTGTTTTCTCTCTCCTGATCCAGGTATTTCTGCATTTGTAGACGTTTGGTCATTTAACAGAACAGAAAATTACTCAAAAACCTTTGAGCAGCAACTTCTTGATATGGGAGCAAAAGTAAGGAAACTATGTTGAAAAAATATAATAGGAGTGTTCTTAATTACAAACCAGTTTGCTTGTTCTGCTTGTCATGTATATTTCTTTGTAGTATGAGTTTGAAGGTATGGGAAGGAAGATAAATCACAGCCTTCAGAACAGAGGAACATGCTGTACTATTCTTAGTAATGACAAATGGGAAATGTATTTAAAACCTACCTGTATCTGTAAACTTCTTTGTATATTGATATGTTAACATGCATTTGTTGTGAAGTCTTAGGCTTGCCACATACGGTTGGTAAACCAAAGCTAAGTGTTGAAAAACTGTGGTTGACAAATATATACCTTATGTTTTGTTTGCTTAAACTTGTAGGCAGCTGCTCTACAGTATTTTCTAACCCAAGTAACATGTCATTTTATTCTTCCATTCGATCTCCCACAATTGTGATTCAGCTCCAGAAATGCTAGTAAAAACAGATCTAGGAATCTTTGTATATCTCATTAATTTTTTTCATTATGACTATAGATGGCTTGTAGGTGCAAAATATGTTTAATTGCCAGCTGTAAAATTTCAACCAGAGGCCAAAGTCAAACTGGCATCTTCCCTTCTTGCACATTATCGCTGCTTAATGGTGATTTTTACAGCTCACATCGTGCTCTAAATAATACTTGTGTGAGCTCCCAGAGCTTTCTAGGTGTGCATGTGGAGGTGTATCTTACTGCAACTTAGGGAATTTCACTAATGTCCCCAAAGCCTCTCTTTCTCTGTGAATTTAGTTGAGGTAGTGTGACAGAATGGTAGAATAACTGTTTTCATTATAAAAGCAAATACACATCTAAATAAATAAATATTTCTTGTTCTTTTGTGCTGTACTATGTAATTCTATTCTGATTATATTAGAGATTTCTCACAGAAAATATAACAAAAGCGTAAGGCTTCAAAATTCTTCAAGTTGATAAAAAACTAGTCAGATATGGTGTAAGGCACAGGCAGATGATAAAGATCATTATATTTAGCAGATCCCAGTGAGTGAAAAGGGGTGGTCCTGCCCCTTCACTATTCCAGACACTTCTGGTTTATTGGACTGAGCACATGGTGGTAAACTCATTTGGCTCACTGTGTCAGGAAATGGAATTCTGAATTAGTTTTTCATGAGATTATTGATTCAGACATCTCAAGCTAATGTCAGCTGAGCAGAAGAGGATGTCCAGGGTAAGGAAGGAGACAGGAGAGGTGAGGGTGAAGTGTAAGGTGGTGCTTCGCTCCACTATCCTCCCAGGGGAAAATAAGAAAGGGAATAAGGGCAAGAAAAAAACCTAGAATAGGTTTAATGAAGTAGTAATAATAATGATGATGGTGAATTACAAACAAATATATATCACTATGTAAATACAACACCCCCCCCTTCTTAGTGGGTAAGTGAATAATGATAGGACCAGAGGAGGTGGTCTGAAGTTGTGGCAGGGGAGGTTTAGATTGGACATTTGGAAGAATTTATTTACTGAAAGAGTGGTCAGGCACTGGAACAGCCTGCCCAGGAAGGTGATTGAATCAGCGTCCTTGGAGGTATTCAAGCCATATACAGATCCAACACCTTGGGAGCCAAGTATAGTGATACAATTGAGAGTGCAGCAGAAAGCTACAGAGCTGTTTCCATTTGGCTATGCTAAGAAGGTGTATTGATCTCACCATGTCAACAATCACAACAACGGATCAAACAGTTTTATGTGTAGGATGTTTAGTTTCCACAAAAGGAAAATCAGGTTGTGAAGAATTGAGTATCTAGAACTAAAGAGGCTATTGCTTAGTTATCAATAGGACTGATAACTGAAAATTTGGTTGGGTGTACAGTACAACATAAAAAATTATGCTGGACTACATAAATGAAAATGTTATAAGATTAGTGTAAGATGACAGCTAGAGTTGGGAGATGAAAATGGTAACTGAGAGAAAAGAATCACAGAATAGAGTCATAGGATCGTTTTTGTTGGAAGAAACCTGTAAGATCATCAAGTCCACTCATTAATCCAGCACTGCTAAGTCCACCCTAAGCACATCTACATGTCTTTTAAATAATTCCTGAGATGGTGACTCAGTCAGTTCACTGGGCAGCCTGTTGCAATGCTAGATAACCCTTGAAGTGAATACATTTTTTCCTAATATCCAGTCTAAACCTCCCCTGGCACAACTTGAGGCTGTTTCCTCTTGTTTGAAAGCAACAGACTACTCTAGCCTTCTAGCATGCTTTGCATTGGCTTAACTAATGAGACTTGAATTTTAGTTGCTTGAGACTTCTTGCAAAGATGGGAAAGATCAAGGGACCTTGACCTTTAGAGTAAGTTTTTACACTAATGGTTTATATATTAAAAATGGACTATGCTAGCTAGTTTCATTAGCATTTTCTGATTATCAGCTTTAAAGATGAGCTCTCTATATCCTCCTGCAGGTTTCAAAAACTTTGAACAAGCATGTGACTCATGTAGTCTTCAAAGATGGACACTTGGCTACATGGAGAAAAGCACAGAAGATGGGTGTAAAAATGGTTTCTGTACTCTGGGTGGAGAAGTGAGTACTTACGAATATAATGACTGCAAGAGTATGGTACCTGTTGTGTTTTTTTTAATGTACTTGAAAAAGGGATAAATCTGTAAGTAATGATAGCTTTACAAGGACATTATTCCCATGATAAAGCATGGTACTTGCATAAAAAGGTAGAATGTTCATTCTTGAAAAATTAATGTGTTGAAGTAGTTCCATAGTATATTTAACTACTCAGTGTTCTACTTCTTTATTCTCAGTTGGCATGCATAGCACTGCAGACTAGGTATTTATGTTGAATAGAGTTACTAAATTTTCATATGAAAAAGTACATTTCATCAGGGACATTGTACTGTTTCTGTACTAACTCCCATAGACAAAATATCTCCTGGCAAGAAAGAAAAAGATCCATAGGCAATCTAACTTTTAAGACATTTGACAGGTTCAGAACAGCACTGCTTGCAAATTCTCAACTACCATAGGGGAAAAAGGTAAATTAAAAATAAAATAAAATAACTGAGTTTCAGCTCTGCAGCCAATACACAAGGATTTGCTAGTCTGTAGCTGCTTCTCTGGGTTTACAAAAGCAATTTTACAAAGCCTTAGATTTCAGATGAAATGTAAAAACAGTTACAATGTTTAAGAGTATGCATGTGTTAAAACACTGATAAATTGCTGTGATGATGGAAGTTAAAATATAGGTCAAGAGGCCCTTTCCTATACCAGTTGTAATATGCATGGAGAGACAGAAGTCTACTAAATTCAGAAGTGGAAAGAAAAAGAAAAGGCGGGGGGTGGCAAAACTGAGCTCTGCAGCCACTTAAACGTAGAACAGTACAATCACAAAACTTGTGATGCAGGTCCACTACCCAGAAATGACATTTATGCAGTTCTGCAGAAGCAGGATTTTTAGTTAGTTAGTTTTTACAGCTACAAAGCCCAGCCAAATTTAAGAAATACCTTAAGTTCTCAATAATGAGGTTGATGCTAAATTTTATTTATGTAAATATATCTCTCTGGCACCTGGTGGTGTCTTGAGTGCATGAGAATAATGGTCATTTCAGTAGGAATCTTTGGTTATATAATTAAATATGCTCTTCAGATGGCTAAGTGTATAAATAAGGAATTTGAAAACTCGGTTACAGGAGCTATAGAATATCCAAGGACTTGGATGTGCTATAGTAAAAAGGATCCCAGAAGAGTCTGCAGCATCTGCAGTGGAATAAGAGAACCTTCAGGAGAGACAGTCCGGGACATGTCAGAGAGAAATGCTGTCTCTGTAATAGCAGTTCTACCACAAGAGCCTCTTCTGCAACACTGGAAGGTGTTGATTGGATGAACACAATAGAAAGCTCAGACATAGAAACAGCTGGGTATGTGATACTGTTGGGGATGCATGGAGCTTTGGGATCCAGGTGTAAAAGCCTCAAGAAGCTTTTAACTGTTGCTGGATACTAGCAACAAAGGAAAAGACAGGAGTAAGGATCTGGATGGAAAACTGAAGCTGTTTGATAGGAAAGAGAAGCCTGTCATCTTCCTGGTATTTTTGGAAGTGTTATATGCCTAATATAACATTATCTCAAAAATTTGGTAGGCCAAAGACAGTCTGTTGAACCATGGGACAATGTAAACAGGAAGAATACTCTTAAAAATAAAATGACAGCTTAATAAAAAAAAAATAATAACTACAGAGTAGATATACATTAAATTAAGTGTTTTGTTTCTTTTTTAAAAAAAATGAACCATGGATGTGTCTACCTTAAACAATTTTGTACAAAATAATGGACTTGCCGGAAGTTTCATGCAAATAAATTGTAAGTTTAATTCAAAGTGAGTGAAGGCTCTGGGTTCACTGGAAAAAATGGAATCATAGAATCCTAGGGGTTGGAAGGGACCTCGAAAGATCATCTAGTCCAACCCTCAATAATTAAAGCTTCTTCAATTCAAATACCTCAATGAGCAACCTGAAAAAACCAAATCCAAACCCATAAATAAAAAGAGCCCTACATAAGATGTAGGATAAAATTTCTACAGTCTGTGTTCAAACTAAGAGTACTTAATACTTCCAACTTAAACTCATAATAGGGAAACTTTGCCTCTGCATTGTTAGTACGGTAGCTCACTTGTGCCACATGTAAGACATACAAATAATTTACGTTCAGATTTGTCTGCAAAGTAAAATGTTCTTGAAGGATATTTAATCCTTACCTTCTCTGAATCAATTAAATCTCTGAATTAATATAAATCTTAATGTAGTCTTCATCTACGCTGATTATTATCCAGAATTTATTAATAGCTACTGAAGTCCAGCGTGTTGCGTATCGTCTGTTTGATACTCCAGAGAACTCTAAACTCAGTGTGACAAATGTGTAGTGCTTTGGCTCTTTATTAAAAACTGAGTAACTAAGTATTACAGTTCTACAGGTACAAACTTTATAGCAGTTGGATCACTAGGTGTCACTAGAATCACAGTTTTGAATGCCTTCTGGGAGAATCTTAGTGTAGTCTATTAAGGTTCCATACTCTTTCCTGTAATCAGTTTTATTATCTATTGTTTGAGAATAAAGCTGTATTTACCTATTTTGATCAAAGGAAGTTTAATTTATGTATTTATAACAAAATTATTGATCTCAGCATTGTCCTTAGTGTTCTTAAATACAGTAGATTGTAGTATATTCCAAAATAATGTTAGTCCTGCTGTTCTCAAGTGAGTTGTTGAATATAAAGAGGAAAAACTTAGGGGTATGGTGTCAGTAGGATTTTTAGTTTTGTAATTGAAAAAGGTTTGCATTAATGCCAACTGCATCTCAGTAAGGGGCTGTTTTTAGCATTGCATCTACAGAAAGAAGGCAGAAAACTGAGACTAGTGTGTAGAAGCTGGGATGAGATGAGGCCTCCTTCCTCATGTGCCTCAATAGAAAAATTTCCTATCCACTCCTTCTGCTCACCACCCCCACCGTGACATTATGTACATTGTAGCTGGGAGTTTATTCTCATCACAGTGACCATGTTAAGGTTCAGTTCACTACCTAGTGAACAATGAAAGCCTACAGTCCTCAAAAAAGTTAGGGCAAGTTTAAAGGCTCATGAGAAACTGTCCAGAAGGACTTAATACATTGGTTTTTGGAAGCATGGAAAATAACACCGATGGGAATTTGAGTTTCAGAACAGCAATTTAGAGGGCATTATTAGGACAAAAGAATAGTATCATATCCTATATTTGATGTGTAGTTTTTTAGCATTACAGTAGTTATGTGAAAGATATACACTCAGGAAGGGTTGGTGTGCCGTTACGACAAGGCTCAGACAATTCTTATTGCAATAAAGATTCTCCCTGTTAAAAAAAAACAAAACACAACAAAAACAAATAATAAAAACCAACCCACACCTTCTCTACGTTATTATACAGGTGTCGAGAAACTGGAGTACGTGTTGATGAATCCTTGTTTCCTGCAGTAGATGCTAATGAAGGATTACCACTGCTGCTCAAAAAGGTTCGTATGGCATTATTTCTTTTTTCTCCAAGTAGGCCTAGATTAGTAACTTCAGAGTTTGAACTTGACTTCCTGACCTCAGGCATTTGAGCTCTTAATTTTCAGAACATTCTATAAATTCTACCTATCCCTCTAAGTAAGGTTTTAAAGGTAGGCTATGGCTGTGATGATGTGACATCTTACCTGAATAAAGGATAATAGACTTTTTATACTGGTCGATACAGAAATGAAGGTTTAAATTAAAAAGAAATAATTAATAACTAATTTAAAAAAAAAACATGACTACAATGTGGCTTATATTGTGATAAACCCTAAAATCCTTGTATATAAAAAAAAGCTTTCAATCCTTAGCTTTCTACAAGCAAAAAAGAAAAGATGGTGATTTAGTCTCCTTTTTACTAAAATCTAACCTAAAAAAATGTTAGGTTCTTATTTCATATTCAAGTTCTCTTTGGAAAACTTTTAACTTTTACTATTGTCTGTGACTCTCAAGGTGGTAAGTAGCATAGGGTTAAACACTGATAATAAGTACTGTGATAGAGTGGTAGGCAAATAGGAAATGTAGTTAATTAATAGTTTTATGTGTCTTGTAGCACAAGTGTATGCAGCCAAAAGACTTTGTTGAAAAAACTCCAGAAAATGATAGAAAGCTACAGAGAAGACTGGACCAAATGGCTAAACAATTAGCTGTACAAAAGGTAGCAATTAATGCTGGTAAGTACTACTTTGCACTAAGATTTCAATACCTGAAGATATTTCTTTAAAGCACTTGATGGATTTTCGTTTGGTGTTTGTTTGTTTTATTTCTCTGCATCTCACTGTAAGAAATAAAGTAGACTTACCTTTTCCAGAGTGCTTTGCACATTTGTGGTATTAATGTATCTAGTGATGTTAGGTATAAGTAAGTTTATTTTTTCAAGTTTTTTTAAGAAAAATTAAAAGACACTTCACCTGAATCTGCTATAGCATGTAAATATTAATGTACAAATCCAATTTCTCTGTGTAGAAACTGATGTGCCAGTTTTACTATTTGAAGACAATGGTTCGCTTGTGTATAGCCCCGTTAATAAGATAAAAGATCAATGCAGTGCAATGGAAAAAAGAATAAAGGAAATGAAGGAAAAAAGGGAAAATCTTTCTCCTGCTGGTAAGAAGTTACATTATATTTGTCTGTGAATGTGCCCAAGTGGCTGCCATCTTAATTACTGAATTTTTGGCACTCTTGTTGTGCTCTGGCCTTTAGAATTTTTTTCATATCTTACTTGACTGCACATCCTTCCTTCTTCCCATGTCGCATAGATGTGAATGCTTTAAATTTTTACTTATTTTCTTCAAAAGGCACAACAAATCATGGAAGACAATGATTGCAAAAATGATTCCTAATCACTAAGCTGCTCGAGAGAACAAATGTTTAAGCTAGACTTGCCAAATTTGCAAATTGATGTTATCACAACTTGGTTAAACTTTACAGCGAGACTTGAAATCCTATTTCCTGTTAAATTTTAATGTGAATGCTGTACTTGACAAAGATTGTGATGTTATTACTCCCAGGCCAACAGTTTAAAAAGGAGTCCAGAGTTGATGAGTTATAGTTTCATGTACTGACAAGCAGGATTTAAAGCAATAAATTAATTTGAATGACCTAACTGATTAAATCTAGTTGGTTTCAAAATGCAGATTCTGATGAACTAAATCTAGATCACAGTTTTCTAATCAGTTTTTAGAGTTTGTGTTACCTTGCTGTGAAAGTGTTGAGGTCACACTCATATAGGTTTGGTCAGTGATTAGAAAAACTGATGAAATATGGGCTGTCTTTTGTGGGGGGAAATCTGCAGTATTTGAAGTTTTAAGACATCTATGTCAACTACACTGTCAGTTTATGATTTCAAAAATAATTAAGGGAGAAAAGTAAAGAATCAGAGATACATGGATGAAAACTTAAGGCTCATTTGCTGGTGTTTATTTGCACTTTGAGTTTTAAGGTAATGCCTTCAAATATTTTGGAAAGCATTTCTACTATATCAAAGCTTTGCTGCTTATTGCAGAATTTGACAGATTTCTCAGAAAAATGCTTCAGCTGGCTTAGAAATGTCTGTTTTCTAAATGGTTTGCCATCATTCAGAAAAATGTGGTGCTGAGCTATCTAGAAAAAAATTGCTTAAAACTGTAGGATATCTTACAGCTTTTTATTAGTATATAAATCTGAGATACTGTTGAGCAGTCTATAATTATTGATATAGTTGGAGTTTGTTGGCAAAGCAATGACTTGTTTCTTAATATTGAACTGTTTTGAAGTAAGAATATGTGGTGTGGAAACCTATGTGTTTGCAGATGGGACTCACTAGCTTATTATTTACAAATTCCTAGCTTTGGAAATGTCTCAGATACTTCCCAGTAGTTTACCAGAAAACTGCCTGCTGTCTACTCATGTCTTAACTAATTCAGAAGATGCATTGTCACCAGGTAACTAACCCAACTTTATGTATTACAGAAATTAAACATAATATGTGGTCTGTATATCTTATTTTGGAAAGTAGGATATACTGAATTGGGAACTGTATATATTTGCTCTATCATTTCTGTTTTAGGCTGTATTTTAGTTTCTCTTAAATGGCAAAGTATGTAGAAGTAAGAGTTCAAGAAAAATGAGAAATGAGAAATCACATTGGGTAAATGCTCTGCCTTACTGCTGTTTTGCTTACCTCCCTTCCTCCTCTTTCCTTACACCATTCCCTACTAATGGCTCCTTGTCCTGGCATGACGCCAGTCTTCTCTGCTCTTACAGTTGATCTTATATAGAATACGGAGTGCACTCTGAACACTGTGGTGTAGGAAGCAAAAAAGAACAGAATGAGAACTGAGATGTCTTCCCAATTTTCAGTCAAAAAACTTGAATTTAAAAGGAAACCTAATGTGTTATTCAGCTTAAGTGTTCAGGGAACAAAGAAATAACAAGAGTAAAAATAAATCAGCTTTTAAAACGTTTCATGGTTGCAGATGAATTGAAGTTGTTTTTTATCAAGGTTCTTATTCTTACAAAGGGGTTCCTGTGTTTCGCCATAGTAGCAGGACATAAATCAGAAGATTATTGTGAAGGCTGTTGAGCTACATCAGCATTAACCATGTATGTAGTGGGTATGTCCTTCAGACTTCATGTCTTCTGTTAGTCACAGGAGCAAAAAGCTGAAGTCAGATACCGTTGTTTGATCTTGGTAGAAAAGTAAGAAGTCTATCTTTAGAATTCATAATAAGAGCCACTTGAGTGGTCTGCCGAATCTCTCTGTTCTATCCCAACCGCAAGCCATTCCTCATGCTGTTTTCAAGTGTTTTATTTGGTTGACATCATAAAGGATTTACTCATGCTGGTTTACATGAGAACAGGGGCTGTGTCTTGTAGCTTGAGACAGCTTGGTACATCTTCATGGAATGTTAGGGAGAAGCTGTAGATTAATACTGGAAGTAGCATAGCTGTGCCAACAAACATTTATATTTTGTTAAATTAGTTGTGTGCTGATGAGGTTGAATATCATGATTTGAGAGTTTTATCTTGGGTATGTCATCCCAACATTGCAACTGCACAAAGTAATTTTACATGAAGAACAGACCTCCACATCCTGTGACAGTAATCAGTATAGCTTCCATCTCTGATGCTTTTTGGTAGTGACCCATTTGTTCATTCTTGTGAGATTGTCACTGTTTAGGCCCAGCCGGTAACATGTGGGTCTCCACTCATTCACCCCACTTTCCCTGCTGTGGAACAGGGAGGAGAAAATCCAACTAAAACCATATCAATCGAGACAAAGACAGGGAGGTTTTCACTCTCCAACTATGGTCACAGGCAAAACAGACTCAACTTGGGGTGGAAAAAAAAAATCAATGTAATTTTTCAGAGCAGGAGAAAGAGAACAAGACCCAATCTTAAATACCTTCCCCCCAGCCCTTTCTTATTCCTGGACTATTTAGGGTCAGTTCATCCCACACTGATTCTGCTGCTCCTTCCTCCTCAGGGGGAGAACTCACAGCCTTCCCTCACTCCACCATGGGGGCCCTCCCGTGGGTGAAAGTCCTTCACAAACCCCTCCAACATGAGTCTCTCCTATGAGGTGCAGTCCCTCAGGAGCAAGCAGCTCCAGGATGGGCTTCACAGAGTCAAGCCTGCTTTGGGAACAGTCATCTCCCCTGGTGTGGGGTCCTCCATGGCTGCAGATCCACATCTGCCCCACCATGGTCCTGCACAGACTGCTTCACCGTGCTCCTCTTGTGGGTTGCAGGGGGGCAGCCTGCCATCTCACCACAGGCTGTAGGGGAATCTTCTGAGGCATGTCCTCCCCCTCCTTCCTCACTGACCTTGCTATCTCTGCTCCAGCATTGCTCTCACCTTCTCCTCTCCTCTGCTCTGCAGATCTTCCTGCAGTTTCATTTTCCCCTTCCTGAATATGTTACTCACAGAGGCACATCCACCTTCCCTAAGTGGCTTGGCTTTGGCCAGAGGTGTGGCTGAAATGAGAGCCAGGTGAGCTCCCAGCAGGTTCTCACTGGAGCCACCCCTGTGTCCCCCACACTACCAAAACCCCACTGCACTAACCAAAATCAGAGATACTCAAGTGTGTTGGTTAATAATGTTTAAAACATGTAAGAATCTAGTTAAATTTTAGTATTGAAGTTCAGACTTTTAAAATTGTCGATATAAGAATGTGATCATGTCATGTTAAACTTCTCTTTTTATTTCCATATGTTTAATTTTCCTTCAAATAGCTACCTTCACTGTATGTTTAAAAAAAATGCTGATATTTGGTAAGCAAATAACACAAAGACTTCCCCTAAAATCTACATAAGCACTTACAGAAGTATTGATGAAACGTTGCACTCAACCTGCATTTAAACAGAAGTATCTACTGCCATAACCAGGTTGTAAAACAACTGTTTTTTAAAAAACGTATTCTGAATTATCAAAGATGCTGGCCTATTTGAGAAGAATTTGTTGTGGAGAGTTATTAATAGATTCTCTATATCACCTCATCCAAAATTATTTCATAAGAATAGTTACAAGAAATGATATATATTTCCACACTCTTAATTATTTTAATACATTGTGTTGATGTGTGTGGTATGATGCTATGTTGTATTTAATTCCACCTTAATGATGGTCATGCTGTGGTTGTAAAAACTATATTGAGTTTGCAGTATTACTGTAGCTGACTTGATCAGCCTAAAATCATGCTGGTTTTCTCTACAAATGCAAGTGCAAAAGGAAGTTCCTTTGCTGCTTTGTTTCAAGAAAGCAGAACAGGACTTACGGATACTTATTACCACTTAAGAAGATACAATAGCTGAAGCTATTGTAGCTTCTCATCAACATAGAATGTGCTTTGTTTCTAAACCATCTTCTGCTTAGTGGCTTGCCTTATAATGTCCAGAGAAGTGGCCAAATCCTTCCCTTCTTCTTCAGTAATTTAATACGTATTTTACTAAGAAATTCAGTTCTTCCTCTGTTTTGTTGAATACATTCATTTTGCAACTTTTTGTATTTTGTAGGAGAACAAATGGAAGACTGCTTGAACTCAAGTTATTGTCTTTGGGGAACTGATAAATTAAAGAGACACAAAACTGAGGTAGTAAAGCAGGCCTGTGATGCTCGGAGTGATACTCCTGTATCCGTGAGTGCATTAGGGAATTCTCCCTCTCCTAGCTGTGACCAGGAGACCTTAACGCCAAAACAACATAGCAGAAGAAACTTAAGAAGGAAACAGATTTTGCAGCACACTTCAGATGATAAATTGTCTTCAGAAAAGAAAGATCTAAAAAAGTTTCCAAAGAAATATCAGAAGGATGAAAGTAGCATGACTACTTCAGTTGCAAATGAAAGTTCTGCTTTTCAAATCAAAAGCTTGGGTGATATTACTCCTTCCAAAAACACATTCAAGTTAAATACTGCTCCTGCTTTGATTGACAATCTCTCTACTTCACCTATGAACAGTGAAAACTTAAATACTTGTTCACTGGATAAAAGTTTCCCTCTTGACAGAAATGATTGTATTGAACACAAGAGAAGGAAACTACAAACACTACCTAGTTTGAAACAGACTACCTCAGAACTGGGTGCATCAGGGTCTAAAGAGTTCTTGCAAGCAGTTACTACGTATAGCAAGTCTTTTTGTGCTGAAGATGATTCTTACGAAGACTTCTTTGCATCATCTGATTTGAATAGAAATGAAGTACAGGTACAAGTACCAAAGGAATCAGATAACCCTCCTGAATTTTGTTGCAAAGAGTCTTTTACAAGCATGGACTCACTTGATGTGAGTTTCTCTGAGCCACATACAACTTCCAAGAAAAGTCAGAATGTATCTATCACAGCAAGTGATGTTTTCAAACTAACTGAACATCCTGGAAGTGTGTCATTAAATATGTCAGATGGTGAAAAAGCTGACACTGCAGAAGCTCTAGATTCTGATGATGTGGATAGGCTTCCTCAGCATGCTCATGAAAAGTCCTACAGAAACAGTGTGAATTACTGTACTCATACTACTGGTAAGTTTCTACATAGAGCTAGAAAATGATATCATACTGCATTAGATATACAAATGCAATTAAATTAGAAATGAACTGCCTGTCCCAAGAGAAAGATATTTCCGAATTACAACAAAAGAATAAAGTGCTACGATACTGACTTTAGTTTTGAGTAAAGTAAATGAGCACATAAGGGTCCAAAAGAATAGAATATCCTTTTGGTTTTGCATACTTTATAAACACAAGGAAGTCACCAAGAGATAAGGAAACTGTGCTTAGAAAATGCAAGAAAAGTATGTGAGTCTTCTCTTTCGCTAATGCTTGGTATTCTGTAAAGTTTCTACTGCTATTCAAAATCTGTTTAAGAAACCAAGGTCTTTCTGTTTTAAATGTTATGGTGCTCTTGTAAATTGTTTATAATTAACTCCTCATCATAGGGTCTCTTGTTGAAATTATTTTTATTTCTTAAGTTAAAATTGCTACTTTGGACCAATTGTAATTAAGGGTATAAAATCTCAAGTGGGGAAAAAAATAGTTGTATTGGCAATTTATACCCTGTGCTATGATGAAGATGGAATAAGACAATTGAGGGCATGTCCAAGAGTTGCAATATGAGCATCTTTTTCAGCCATGTTTTTTTTTTTATATGGAACTTATCTTCATTTTTAATAAGAATTTTAAGAGTATTTTTTATATTTGAGCATGTAAGTGCTTTCATTTTCTTTTTATATTTTATATTGAATGTGTAAAGGCTTGCATCCCACTCTTAAGTGAAGGCAAAGCTCATGACCACCTGAGAAATCAAGTCCGTGGGACTTGATGAGATGCATCTCGGAGTCCTGAAGTAATTGACTAATGTAGTTGCCAAGTCTCTCTGCCTGATACTTGAAAAGTCATTGCAGTCAGGTGAAGTTCCTGTTGGCTAGAAAAAAGGAAATGTTACGCCCTTTTTGAAAAGGGTAGAAAAGAGGACCCTGGGAAGTATCAACCTGTCAGCCTCTCCTCTGCCTGGGAAGATCACGGAACAGAACCTCCTAGAAGCTCTGATTAAGCATGTGGAGGACAGGGAGGTGATTCAAGATAGCCAGCATGGCTTTACTGAGGGCATGTCCTGCCTGACCAACCTAGTGGCTTTCTGCAATGGAGTGGCTGCATCAGTTGATACAGGAAAAGCAGTAGATGCCATCTGTCTGGACTTCTGCCAGGTCTTTGACGCAGTCCCCCACATCATCCTTCTTTCTAAGTTGGAAAGATACAGATTTGATGGGAATTGGCTGGATTTGCATCCAGAGAGTAATGATCAGTGGCTTGATGTCCAGATGGTGATGGGTGACAAGTGGTGTCCCTCAGGGGTCTGTACTGGGACCAGTGTTACTTAATATCTACATCAATGATATAGACAGTGGGATCAAGGGCACCCTCAGCAAGTTTGTGGGTTGCACCAAGCTGACTGGTGTGGTCAGCAAGCCAGAGGGATGGGATGTTATACAGAGGGACCTGGACAAGCTGGAGAGGTGGGCCCATGTGAACCTCATGAGATTCAGCAAGACCAAGTTCAAGGTCCTGCACCTGCATAGGAGCAATCCTCATTATCAGTACAGGCTGGGGGATGATGTGATAGAAAGCAGCCCTGCAGAAGGAGACTTGGGGGTAATAGTGGACAAAAAGCAGGGCATGAGCCAACAGTGCCTGCTAACAGCCCAGAGGGCCAGTTGAATCCTGGGCCGCATCAAAAGGAGCATGGCCAGCAGCTCAAGCGAGGTGATTCTGCCCCTCTACTCTGGTGAGACCTCACCTAGAGTACTTTGTCCAGCTCTGGAGTCCTCAACACAAGGAGACATGGACCTGTTGGAGCGTGTCAAGAGGAGGGACACAAAAATGATCAAGAGGCTGGAACACCTCTGCTATGAAGACTGGCTGAGAGAGTTAGGGTTGCTCAGCCTGGAAAAGAGAAACCTCTGGGGGGACCTTGTAGCGGCCTTCCAGTGTCTGAAGGGGCCAACAGAAAAGCCAGGAAGGGACTGTTTACAAGGGTTTGTATAGGACAAGGGGCAATGGTCTTAAACTAGAGTAGGGTAGGTTTAGGTTAGACATTAGGAAGATGTTCTTTACAGTGAGGGTGGTGAAGCACTGGAACAAATGATCCAGAGATGTGGTGGAGGCCCCATTCCTGGAGACATTCAAGGTCAGACTTGATGGGGCTCTGAGCAACCTGATCTAGTTAAAGATGTCCCTGTGCACTGCAGAGAGGTTGGACTAGACCTTTAAAGGTCTCTTCCAACCCAGCATATTCTATGATTCCTTAATATCAAATAACAGTCTGTTTTTCATTAAACAATCATTAAAACAAATGAGGAAGGATAAAATGTTTACTATTTTTAAACTTAGGAATGCCTGTTAATTTTAGAATTAAATTTAACTTTTAAATTTTAGTGATTAAATTATGATCAATGTTCTGGCATGTTATGCTTTTATTTTCTCACTGGACAACTTGTTTAAGATAACAGATTTTGGATGACAGGAAAAAGGAACAGTATTCAGCAAACAAAAGTTATCCAGAGTTTGGACTTTGTAACCTTTTTTTAAACTTTTTTTTTTTTAAGGAACTTTTGTAAGTCTTAAATTGTGTGATTTTAATAATATTTGTAATTTATCAGTGATGGCCATTTTCCCAACTGTTACATAATCAGCTTTATGTATCCTTTGTGTAGTAAAGTAGTACCTCAAATGTTAAATCTCAAATGAGCTCACTTAAAAATGGAGGGAATCAGTAATGAAAGAGGAGTTGTATTTTCCCTAATACAAGTTCTGTGGAAGAAAACAAAAATCTTGTTTTAAACTCATTACTGTGATGCCATATGTTTTAATAATTTATTTTTATTAAATATAGGTGTAACATTTCCTGTTTTTCTGGAATGTAAGTTATTTCTTGTCCCTTTTAATTAATAAATAAATAAGTGCTTTTGTTTTTCTGTATGTTGTATATGATTTGAAAACTGGTGAATACAATGTATTTTTAAAAGCTAAAGAATTCACTCATCATATATATGCAGTTAGGAGTATCAAATATCCATATAAAATGTAATTTATATATAATTTATAATTATATAATTATAATATATATTTAAATATATTATATACTTATAAAACGTAATTTTTATATATATATAAATGTCTTGCCCTTTTTTTTTATTTTTGAGATCTGTGGCCCTCTTACTCAGTGTCTTTAATGGCAAGTAGTAAGATTTTATAAGCTTTTTTTGTTCCTTGGAACATTTGATTTTAAAGTACAAGTGTAATATACAGGCTAATCTGAAACTAACTTTTCAAGTCCTAGTGCTTATGTTGTAGCAAAAGTCAGGTTTCGTTGTAGGGAACACTCAAGGCTATCCAGTGGATCTGCTGAATAGCACAGACATAAACGTGGCTACTTATTTTCATCGTACTCCAAGTCATAAATCAAGTAGAGAACTGTCACAGGTACAAGAATTAAGATCAAGTAGGTGTTAAAAGAATATTAAAAGATGCTTTCCTATTGTGGGGTAGCCCTCTGGTACCGGCTCGCGACACCTACAAAAATCACTTTTTCTTTCTTAACTTTGTTTCTGGAGATGAAATAAGTCCTCCTGTTTAAACCAGTCACACCTGATAAATTTCAGTGCTCTGTAATGAGTGAGTGCTGTGCAATGTAGGTGCCTAAATTTTTAGCAGTTAGAAATTGAGGAAAATGGAGGCTTTTCTCTGTCATGAATATAAGTTTATGGAAATGCAGTAATACTTTTTGAAAGCCGATGGTCTGTGTTACTAGGAGAGTCTAAGAACTTTGTCCATCTGTCTTAACTTTGAGTAGGGCTGATGAGGGTCAGTTGGCACTTGAGCAACATGCCAATGCTTGCTCAAATTAGATGAATTCTTATGACTTTTCATCTGAATGCTACAACTAAATAATAATGGGCAAGGAAATCCAGAGTATGCTCTTTTAAGCTTTTATAATTCTAAATTTAGAAATTTCAGCTGGGACTTAGCATTATTTCCAGCCTTAGAAATAAACTTAAGGCTTAGCTGAGTGGATTTTATATATTTATGGTGAATGTAGGAAGCAGGTATCTTAGCTGGCCAAAAGACATCAACTAAGGCCTACTATAGTGTAATTACTGTAGTTCAATGTTAATATGAGGAATCTGGAATATTCTGTCATTTGGTACAAAAATTAGGACGTTTAGTTTAGGTGAAAGAGTTTTACCTGAGGTGCTAGGTGCTTAATGCTGCTGAATACTGTTTGTTATTAAAAACACACATGTGAAAACTTCCTTAAACTTGATGTGCCTTTTTTTTAAATTCCATTTTGGAAGTAGGCAAGGTCACTAAAAACCCTGTGTGATGTCTTGTATGAACATTTTATGTCCTTTTAAAAAAAAACAAGCAGTGAAGAAGAAAAAGTTTAGTTGTAACTACTTAAACAAAAAGGACAAATATTTCTGAAGAGAGGAACAGGTTGAGGATTATTTGTTGTGATACTTCAGAGTTGTTGATTTCGATACCAGCCATTAAGCAATGTTTTAGAAGAGAATGTAGAGAATCTAATGGATGACAGTGGCATGAGTTATCTACCTATTTGAGCTAAATTTAGGAGTAATTAACAGTGGATGGAATTGCTTCGCAATTCTGTCAGACTTACCTGAAACACGCTAGGAAAAGCTACTGAACATGAAATCTTACATGTTGACCAAGCAACTTCTTTAAAAAGAAGCAATCAGGGAAAACCAGACAACAGACAGTAAAACTTCAGACCTACAGGATGTAAAGGCTCAAAAGTCCTTGAGAAGTCCTGATAGTCAGAAGAAATAGGAACCGGATTGAAAAGAATAGTCTTTATTTGTGTAATGCGTAAGATCCCCAAGATGATAGTATCCTGTTCATGCTTTCCTGTAAATACAAAGAATCAACGAGAGTGAATCATAACTGGAAAGAGGTCCAAGCATACAGACAGGTCTTAAGACTTTAATCCCAAGTGAGACAAGAGCTATAGAGCTTGAGCATTCAGGCGAAGAGTGGCAAAAGAAATATTACATCACTCCACTTCTCACTGCCCCTCACAAACCACCCTTCCAAAAAACCTGAAAACAGTGGATTATCCTTTTACAGTGGCTGAAATAACTTGCTGGAAATTAAGACATACCTTGCTTTTACCCCAAGCAATGGAGGAGGTGATCTGACATCCTTTGCAGTTGGGTCTTTTAAGATTCAAATACATGTTTAAACTTTTGTTTCCCAGGTAAAAGGAGTTAAATTTAAGCTTCTTAGCTCTTTTATAATGTGGCAAGATCTTTTCACCTTTTCTGCTAGCCAGCAGTCTTGTTCAGTGATGGAAGACAATGGACCTCCATACAATACTAAATAAAATTAACATAGTTAAGTAATCTGCTCTGTCAGGGGGTTGGACTAGATGATCTTTCGAGGTCCCTTCCAACCCCTAAGGTTCTGTGTTTCTGTAATTATTTGTCCCTTTTTTAACTGACACTTTGTATTTAAATACTGAGTTTAAATTAACAATTGTACCTAAAAGCTAGGTTTACTTGTCTTACACAAAAGTTATTATAAAACTGTGTAAATTCATGTGAAACTTGGAATTTTTTGTGAGGAAGTTATTAAATTTTGACTAGTTTGAAGGCTATAATTTTAAAATAAGTAGTCAGTAATGGAAAATATTGGCCAAAATTTATTGTGTGGTAACTTGTTTTTCACCTCAAGTTTATAAATAGCTAACAGGAAAAGCAACTGACTCTTAGTTATATAAGCTGTCACACTAGTAAATATCGATGGTACCCTTCACTATTTCCCATAAGTAATCAGAAGAAATTTACTTGGGAGAGCTGAATTTTGGCCACTTTAATCACTAATTATTAAACTTTCTTTAACTAGTCTCATGCATTTCTTTGATATAAAAAATTAACTATTGTTCTTAAGCAGACTCTGTGGAATTAAATGGGGGAAAAATAATCTGCTCAAATCTTAAGTAATTAAAATGTCATTGTTCAAGTCAGCAAGCAAGCTGATTTCTCAAAGGACTCAAAAGTTTATTATTTATTTCCTATGAAAGTCATCCTGATTGTGTTGAAAAATTAAATATATGTTGATCCCAAAATACATGATGAAAAAGACTGCTTTTTGGCAGCCACATTAGTCTACATTCTTATGGATGGTGCCTTTTTTTGAACTAATAGCACTGATGTGCCTTTGCCTGTGTGCCGGTGCAATCTGCTTGCTAACAGCTTGTAAGATTTGCTTATGGTGTTTGAAAACATTCAGACCCTTAGGTCATTTCAGATAAACACAGTGTGTACTGAAAGCATTGAAATTTCAGTAAGAAACTAAAAATCTAGACACCACTGCTTCAGACTCTCAAATATGTTCAGAGAAGTTGCAAATTTTGTAATACGTATGAAGCAATTTAGCTGATTCTCTACTTGTAGTTCATATATGCTTTTCAAAACACTGAAAATTGGGAGTTTTGCTTCAAGTTTATTTACAAGATCAGATACTAAAAGATGAAGTCAGATGCTTGAGTGTCATTCTTTCTTCAAAAAGTGAAATGGACAAAAAAACTGGTACAAATTATTAACTTAGTTATCTTAATTGTACATAGCTCCAGGTGCTACAGTAAAATAATAGGTGGCAGCTTCATTTCACAACATTGCACCCTTCATTTAAAGTTTCTAAATTTGGTTTCTAGGTGATGAAAATGAAGTTTCAGAGTGTCATGTTACTGATGTCTCTTGCAAAGTTTTTAATGAACAAAAGAATAAACACAATGAAGTTTTAAGAAAAACTAGAAGACTCCAAAAGGTCAGTTTAACTGGAAATACTGTTTGTTAAGGTCTTTCTTTTTCTTGGGGAATCACAATCACTGATTGCCTTTGTATGTACAAAAAATAAATGCATTCTCTATGCAGTATCTATTTAAAAACCTTCCTGAATCTCACTTCCCTTGAAATGTGTGAATGATGTTCAAAGGCAGTACATACAACCACGGAGCTCGACTTTCTGCTAACTTGGGGTAGCAGAGTCTGTGCCAAGTTGATACTGTAAAGGAGGTTGGTAAACCAGCTCCAATTGTTTTAGTCAAAAACCTACTGAAATAACCTGAAAAGATGCTCGTCCTTTTTGGAGGAGTTACTAAATGGGGCAGGGGTTTTTGTTTGTTTTGTAGTAGGTTATCCTCAGTGGATGTTTCTGCAGGATAAAGATTTATGCAGTAGTTTCTTCTAGGTTCAGGTAAAGCTAAATTTCTTAACTTCCTATTTGAGCTCAGTTTGGTTAAAAAAAAAAAAAATAGAGGATTGGGTCAGCACTGAATCTTTTTTTTAGTTGTTTTTCCCTTGTAACTTACAAGAAAAATAAATTCTAGTTCTTTTTATCAGGAAGCAGCACGTTGTACAATTAAAATTAACACTGAATTGTTTTGGGAATGCAAAGTCCTAAAGCACTAAAAAATGTCTGAGTAATTAATTCTATGAAATAAATTTTACAGGTGTTTCATTAGCAGCTATTAGTGGAGTTTTCAAAGAGACTGATCACAGATTTTGATTCGCTTTTATGTAAAAGATCCAAGCAAGTGCAACCACTAGGCTGTTCGACCTTTTGAATAACCTGAAGATGTGATATTAATCTCTTCATTATTCTTGCTGCATCTTATTCCTTGTACTTCCCTTAAGTATTTGTTCACTTTCTTTTACTAAATATATATTTAAATATATACATATATATTATTTTTATAACTGATAACTATTACGTAGAATGTATAAATCAACTTTATTCTAGATCTGTGTCCTGAAAAAACATCATGGGGTAGTCTACTTTTTAGGCTAAAGCATCTATCCAAAACAGTTTCATTTCTTGTCGCAGGAATCTGACTAAAGCTGCTGAATGTATATCCACAAACTACAGCCAGTTCAAACTGGAACATAGGAGGTTCAATGTGAATATCAGAAAAAACTTCTTTACTGTGAGAGTGACAGAGCACTGGAACAGGCTGCCCAGAGAGGTTGTGGAGTCTCCTTTGCTGGAGACATTCAAAACCCGCCTGGACATGTTCCTGTGTGATGTGCTCTAGGTGATCCTGCTCTGGCAGGGGGGTTGGACTAGATGATGTTTCAAGGTCCCTTCCAACCCCTGAGATTGTGTGATTCAGTGACATCTCTGCAGAAATTGTGCTTGGAGATTTGTCAGATTTGTTGGTACTGATTTCTTCTTCTGTGTAATTACATTTCAAGAGTATTATATGGTAGTGCTAGCTTTGATTAATTTCTTTTAAGAAAAGATCCCAACATAACTATTGCATTCTAAATAGAAACAAAAAACAATGTTAATAATGAAACTACCCCCAAAACAAACCTTTATCTTGTGGTCATTGGCAGTTTTGTACTGAGTATTTCCAATATGAGGCTTTAGATCATATTGCTGATGTTCTGGGAATCTGTTGTAAGTGTAATCTGTTAAATTTGTTACTTTGCTGTAAGTCTCTCAATTTGGGAAGCAATATAAATCACAGTACTTTTTTCATAGAAAAAGTGTTTGAAATCTAATGCCTCATTAAAAACTTTTTAGATGTTTGCTGAATGTAATTCTTAGACAATGTCTGAACTGAAACTTCTTAGAGTACTGTAGTTTTAGCTTATTCACTACAGTGAACACAGCAATAATTACTTATTTGCTACAGTGAATGAATGTCAGTAGGCACATGGAGTTGACTGTGTGGTGGTAAATATTGAATAAGCCATACAAAAATATCTTTAACTGATATGACCAGCTGTCTTAACATTATTTACTTGTAGTTATTTCAATTTGTCAACTGCAGTTTTTTTATTTTAATATAAATCAAGCTTTAGGTTCTGTTTTTCTCTGCTATGCTATTGCATTATGTAGTTATTTTCTTACTCATGCTTTTGAGTTCTTGTATTTTGTTCTCGCTGAAGTGAAATCATGAATGACTTTGTTCAGGTACTTCTGTATCGCAATTTTAGATTACAAGTACTGTTATTTTCTTATCTATACTATTTATGTAGGTGTGCTTATTGCACTCTTAACATGGAAGACTTCTAATCAAAGTTATCTAAAATGTACTGTTGACTAACAAAAGCCATGAAGAGAGAGCAGTTGCTAATGGCAGCTGCAGGCACATTGGGCAAAGATAGCTAAGATTTTTCAGGAATCTAACGGCCTCAGGAACAACCATTTTGGGTTTAAAACACCACCCCTACCCCCAAAACCCCAGGAGGTTTGGTGTGTTGTGCTTATGCAAATGTAGCAGATAAAGATAGATTTATAAAACTGGCCTATAGTTTTTGAACACGTTTGTTTTGAGATACAACAACCCATAATTGAGGATAGTTCCAAATTCTTCTCATACAGGGTAGGAAGGAATAAACACCGTGGATTAATGCCTATGAATGTCAGCAGGTGGCTTCCCTGATCTAGAAATCTAAGTTGATTATACTGGATTGCAGGAATAAAATAACCCTTTATGCATTGTGATACATTTTTCAGTCATTCTATGGAACTGAATACATAGTTCTTTGTTGCTTTGTATAAGGAGCACAATGTGAAGTAACTAAAAATCACAAATCCAAAAATGTATTTGAACAGCTTAGTTACAGTGGTGTTTACCTGTTGGTATGAGGGTTGAGTGCTTCTTTAATTGCTTAATGTCACAAAAATGTTTACATTTATCACAACACCAGTTGCATGTCGCAAGTGTAAACATTTTGTACTTTAAACAAATCAGAGAAAGACTCATTATGAATAACCAGTTAACTGCTATTTTTATTCAGATAAAAAGTTGTTTTGGATCTTTAGGGAGATATGAAAGGGGATACATATCTTTTAAATAATCTAACAGTATTGTATTACTAGAAATACAATTGGAATAAATATTGCGCTCAGAAAAACCCTTAAAGTGCTGTCTTCTGAGTGAATACAAGGAACTCTTCAACCATGTGAAAAAAACAATTAAACGTCATGAGGGGTTTTAAACAGTATTTTTCAGAGAGAAGACAGTGTGATCTTAACTGAAGTTCTATCAGTTTTGCTTTTAAACAGATTCCTCTTGGCTTGTATTTCTGTAGTTCTTGGATCTGGGTAAGGTAAAGAAAAGGAAGAAAGGAAAGAATCTAAGCTCATGCTGTGAGATAATTAGTGTGAAACAGGCCATCATTAGATCCTGTTATCAAAATCCTTCTTTTTGAAAGTATTTTTTTCATGGCAAACAAAAATCTAATATGCTTGAAAAATCTTTAACTATAAAACATTAAGCATCTTGCCAGAGATTCTGGAAAGTAACTTTTTGTCTATATTTGGTGTATGCATTTGTAGACTGTCTTAAACAAATTGCATTGGTTTTGGGACATCATATTTTTTATGCTTTCTTTGTATTTTGATTTTTTACTTACTTTGAATAGGTAGTTATTTTAAAGAATTCTATTTGAAATGTTATGGACTTTGAGCCACAAATTATTATTAAACTAGTGTGAATTTGACAAGGTGGAAGCATGCAAGCTCATTTACAGTTAACAGTGAAGAAACTGGAACTACCTACAAGTTTATCACCTGGGGAAAATACCTCGTGATGGAGGGGGTGAACAAGTGGTTACTGAAAATTATTCAAATTGATTGCTTTTGGGTGTAGCAATGAGGGGAGTGACTGAAGTGTCATTATGAGTGCTTGTGTGGTACCTTTGCGAAACTTTTATGCTATTGACCGAATGTCTGATGGTATGACTTTATGCATATCTGATTTGATTCTAAAGCATTTCTTGTTTACAAGATGTCTCATCTTAGATGAAGTAATCCTGAAAGTGTCTGACCCAGTGTAGCTAATGACAACTGAGTAGTTGAATATTGTTTAACTAGTTATCTAGCTGCCTCAACATAAAGTTGAAGAAACAAGTTATTGTGAAACAAGCTTTTGAGCAGACTACATTGTGGAACAAGTAACTTTGAAAGAGTCAGTGATAAAAGGTCCTAATGCTACTTATCACTGCAGAAAATTTGCTTCCTTGACATGTCTGCAATAAACCACTGAATGGGATGTTGAAATCCAACAACATTGGTACTTTCATTCAAAACTTGCAAGGCAATTCTTGTTCTGGACTTTGTCCACCTGGTGAATTTTTTTTCCATGCTTCTCCCACATCTAGTTGAGGGCTTCCACAACAGAAACTAAACTCTTGATGTCTGCTGCTGCACCTTACAGGTCATGTCCTAATGGCAAGAGCTTTGTTAGCACCACTTAGGGATGCTACCTTTTGTGCCAGGAAGATCACCTGTAGACGGATCTAGTGTGCTGATTCATGGCCTTGGGTCCCAAGAAATCATTCTCTTTATGACAGGTTTCATGCTAGCAGTTCTGAACTACCCACTGAAGTTCTATGGTTTATTTCTTAATTTGAAAAAATGAGAGGATGTCCCAGAGACGCAGCTGTTGTTCACACTCTTGTAAGGGTTGCTATTTGGAAGAGTGGAAGTGTGCCCCGACAGTGATATAGGAGGTCATTGACTTTGCAACTTGTCACCTTAGCAGACAGGGTAGTTAAGATCAAGGAGCTGAATTCACCTAAGTTTTTACATAAAATTGTCGCTAAACTTCTGTTCAGTCAAAAAATTAATTGGTTCTTTTTAGAACCTTATTCAAGGAATAGTGGCTTACATATGTGGAGGCTTTATTTAATTTTGTCTGTATAGATTTAAGAAAAAACCTTCAGTTTCTCCTTTTTTTTTTTTTTACCTTTTTCTTTTTTTTTAAGATTGGTAAGCATTGTGATTTTTTTGGTCCAGAAACTATTTATGTA